AATACAAATAGAAAGCTTACAGTTGGTAAGTTTCACATCCCCCCCGTTAACTTCTTTTTGAAAATGTCTTAAAGGTTGTTGCAAATCAACAATATTTGCAACCCTAAATGATAGAAATAAACTATTTAAAAAGTTAACTTTCTTTCACAGGTTGATTTTTTAGTATTTTAGTACAAGAAACTATGCTTTCGTGTAATGAAACTTTGAATACTAAAATTCTGTCTTGCAACACCTATGTCCTTGACTTTGTGCATCTGTGTTGCATCATGGTGCCCATCAGCGACTTTAGAGCCCGGGGCCTCCGAGCAATGGATGCGCCCATACTAGAGTGTCTAAATCGATGCTGCGGTATTTCCAGTAACTTATTCCGGTTACTATATGGTTTCCCAGCATATTCTAATCTGCTGCTGGACTGTACACAGAAATGAATGCCTCAGCAGTGATTGTGCAGAACATCCCCCAGTACTCTGCTCCCATCCCTCGGTCAACGACGTGGCACACGTCTCGCGAACCCCCAACCCCCACCTTTACAAGCCAAGAAACAGGCTTTTGGGAGAAATTAGAGAATAGAAATGTGCTTAAGATGTGCTGGTTGTTTTTCCTTTTTCAGTGGCCAATATGGACCATTTGGGAGCCACATGGAGCTGGTGAGAGCTGGGTGGGACAAGCTAACAGATGTCTGAAAGACACCAGCAAACAGTTGAACTCTACAAGACGTGCGTCTGCGGACACCATGTCAACATCGTGTGGCCAACAGCGGCTCCATACCTTCAGTCCGGTGAACTCCGACGGGAGCAGCGTCAGGTCACGCTGTGACGACGCCACCCTTAGTGAAAATAAGTGTTTCCCACGTAAACTCTGAAACGCAAAGGCGTCGTATTCACTTCCACACTTCTGTCAAAGGAGCTGGGAGCGTAAGCGAAGCTAGCCGCGTGATGACATTTTACGTGAGTCTCATATCTGCTGAAACACCGGCGCAATTCCCAGCACAACACCGAGCACGTGCGCTTGCTGCGTTGGGGAGACCCCGACGAGACCAACTGCAGAGGGGTGTTAGCGGAGAGAAGGGGACAAATACTGGGCTCAAACACTGCTGTTTAATCTATTGTATTACTGATTTACTCAGTACCATGTAGTGTAATATAAAAACAACTGTTGTAAGACTGTAAATAAATACAAACACTTTATGATAATCATAGTTCCACCTATATTGTTTTGGAACTTTCCAACTTCCGCCTACACGTTTAAACGAATTACTATATTTTAAAAGTACAAAGTTATTTCTTTGCTATTTTTACGTTCCAAAATTTAGTTACATTTATACCAAAGTCAAATAAAATTGTAGTCATTTCATTGCAATAGATGCTAAACAACGTTCCCTTGAAACAATGCCACGTCTGAAAGGAAAACGTGTTTCTGAGTCAAGTTCACTAAAAACACGGAGGCTGTGAGGAGTCTCAATGTGTAAAATTTCCCCATCAAAAACCTCCGATATAGATAAAAAAAATTAACCCGAGGTTCGAGAACTACAAGTAGCTCTTTGGACTATTAATAACTTTAGACAAAAACTTTAGATAAAAATCATGAAGACCCACCAAATGTTTTAAATATAGATAAAATAAATGTTTTAGCACTCTATCCACTTTCCAAATGAAATATTTGCATTTAAATTCCACAACGAAATGATACTAAAAGTAGAAATAAAATCTTTCAGGTTTTTTTTTTTTTTTCATTAGGTTAGAAATTTAGAGGTTTTGAGATTTTTTGAAAATCAGTTTTCACAAATTTCAACATCCCCCAGAAGAAAATGTATCCATCCTTTTCTTATTTTGATCTATTTTAAAGTTTCCACAAATCTGTCTCCCAAACTCTCAGAATGTTTGGACTTCTATTATCCTCATTGGATGACTCCAAAGATCTTTCTCTCACAAAGTTATTTTGTTGTAAATGTGTGGGTACATTTTGCCTTACTTAAATCCAAAATATAAACCCCTCATGTTTAGCAGACACCAGAATATCGTGGGTCAAATCTGACTAACAAAATAATATAAAAACAAAACCCAAGCTCCTTCTGAAAAAAAAGTAACCCTAGTAGATAATGCTGCAGTTGCCACGGCAAACATCTAGCTAGATTCTTGTACAGTATTTTTGTTTACATCTACCCAGTTCAAATGGTTTTATATTACTAAACTCTGGCATATGAACAGTGACGAATGAGTCACTGGTTATATTTGTAACTGGACGCTGCATTTAATGCACCGATAACTGATTTCATATAGTAGACGAGACATTCATTACTCCCAGCTTTAAGGGTCTCTTGCTAATTGACGCATAAAGCAGCATCAGCCATTTTATTCTGTAGACGTCTAAAACCAGAAGGTGTGATAGTAAAACATCCACCTGTATTAATGTTTTTGAAAGACCAAAAATCCAAATGAAGACGAAAACAAAGACATTATGTATAAACATCTGATTTTATTCTGAACAGAAAGGTCCAACAACATGCTGCACCATCAGCAACATAATAAACAAGAAGGAAAAACAGGGTAGTGTACTCAGAGCAGAACAGATTGCACATGTACAGAATGGCAGTTTACAGTTGGTTAAAAAAAATATATAGAAAGAATTATAATGAAGGGGTCTGTCACTTTATTTAAAGTACAGTTTTGTTTCTTATTCATATCTCTTTTTGGGGGTAAGAGCTTGCTTTTCTCCATCTTCTAAACATTCTAAATCATGTGATCAAAAAACAAAAAAGATACATCTGTGCATTGAAGTAGAATTAAGCTGAAGAAATGTGTTTTTTTCTGTGAGGTGAAGGCCAGCAGACATTTTGCTGATCAATTTTGTGCTATAAGAAGTAATCTGATGTTCATGTGGAGAAATAAGATACACGCCGATACACATGAGCATTTTGGGGGAGTCAGTGATACTACAGTAACAAACATTGGCATCTGATTGGTTACTGAGCAGTTTTACTAAAGAGTCTACTTGTTAAATGATTAGATCCAGAGACGTCAGTTACTGACCAGAATCAGATTTTTAGCTCCACAGAACCGGAGAGAGGATGTGTTCTTCCCACCTCGACACTAAAGAAGCTTTGGAAAAGTTCAAGAAATTTACTTTTAAAACAGAAGCTCCTTTAAAACCATATTTCTGTGAATCCTCTTCATAAATCACCACGTGCTTTCAAATCATTCATGTTAACCCTTCCACCTCATTACAGCCAGGACTATAGAACCGTAGAAGCATGGAGGAAAACTCTACACTCGTCTGCAACCTGTGGCTCCGGAGCCACAAGAGGCCCTTTGGATCTTCAGCCATGGCTCTCAATAACTTTGACTAAAATTTAAGCAATTTAAATAAGCCAACATTTTTAAATTTACATAGAAGACAGACTTTTTTTTTAAACAGTTTTTCAGTTTACTCCTGTCTTTGCATTGAATTTCTACAAGTACCAGCAAAATGTTTCTAGATCTGAACTTCTTGTCATTAGGTTGGACTCTGTGCTTTTTAAAAATTTTGTTATTCATCATTTTTTGCCCCACAGGATAAAAATATATATAATCTTTTTGCTAAATTTTATGTTCGTCTTTAAATCCTAGAAATACAAATAAAATCGTTTTCAAATAAATTTCCTATAGTAGATATTTATCTCAATTTATAAGCTGTCTTTTTTTCCAAATACATCAATGTGATAAATTCATGTTTTTTCCCCCCCAAGATTACACACAAATACCCATAAACCAATTTGAAATGGAACTCTAAAAATATCAGCAGCCTTTGTAAATTACCTGGTTTTATTTTACATTAGCACATGCTAGGCCTGTTGCCAGGTAACTGTTTTTCAGAGTTACTGTAGTGCGTTGCCTCTGCTAAAATGCTCCACATCACAACGAGGTGACAAATCAAAATAAAGTCCATAAAGTGACTACAATACTTCAATATAGTTTAGTTAAAAAAAAGATGGAAGAACAGACTGGCTGTTATTCAAAGCAGAAATGGTTAACAAAATAGCTCATAGAAAACTTTTATACATGAAACTACAATTAAAGTTCCTCTGTGTTTATTCCTCACTTTGGTCAGTGAATAGTCTGAAGCTCATTAGACACAGAAGCAGATAGGAGTGCAAGTTAGTCAAAAGTCTTGAAGAAAAAAAAAAAAAAAAAAAAAAACAATAAACCAAAAACAGGACCAAGTGACATGAGCCTATCAGAAACTGGACAGACGGGTGTGTTTTCTGGGTTTGGCCTCATCCAGAAAACCCTGAACACTTTGAACACCTTTCAGTCAGTTTCTGTGCCTTCTTCTTGGCTGTTGCCTCTAAAGCCGATGACCTTCTTCTTCTCCTCATTTTCTATTAAAATTATGCACATATTTTGCAGCTGACTAAGAAAGTGTAGCAATATTTTGTCAGTTCTCTGTCCTCTCTCGCACTCAGCATTTCTCACCTACGCCTCAGAAGCGGTTTTCTACTGTAATTAGCTAAAATCAGTTCAAGAAATCCTTCAGAGTTGAACGTTAGCAAGCCAACATGTTCATGCACATTTAAATTGGAGATGCACCAAACAGACAACAACAGACAAAAGGTTGACTTTTGGGTCAGACGTTCTGCAGACGATGGGTGGCAGTAATGATGGCTTTTGGTGTGGAAATCGTTACTGAGTGAAGATTGGATCATTTTCACCATCAGTGAGGTGTTCCAAACTGAAGCCAAAGGAAGCACAGAGATGGAAGAAGCCTAACAGTTTTTCTCGACGGGAAGGATACAAAGAAAATTGGAATGCTGTTCCCATGTTTTTCTATACTCTCCCGTTGTTCTTTAGGGAAAAAAAAATTGTTTGGGCAGGTTAGAGCTTTACAAAACACTGCATCTGGAAACGGACCGCCAAAAAAAAAATTTAGATCCATGCATTTTGCTGCACAACGTAGGAAAGTGGCAGCATATAAAAAAGCTCTAGCAGAGACACAATTGTTGTTTTCAAAAGATTTTAAAAAATGTTTCAAAGAGCTAATGTAAAGTAGAAGAGAAGATCCAGTTCTTACTTGGTTTTTAAAGGAATTCAGACAACTACAGCTTCTTAATGCCAAGGAAAGATGAAAATATCTGCTTTTCAACCTTGTGCCACAAGTTAATCTGCATGTTTCCTTTAATGTGCTTAGAAAGAGTCTGGAACTGGAAGATCTGCTGAAGATACGACTTGGTTCTGTCATCCCTGCACAAACAGCAGCGTTTAAAATCCCTGTGCACTGAACCGAGTGTAAAAAGAGTGTTGTACAACCTTCAGAAGAATACAGAGTAACATTTCTGAATTAATATTAAAGCCTCCAACATTAGCAAGCATCGACGCTCTGTAAAAACGTTTAATCTGCACGGCCCAGTTAGTGAGTGAGACCAGACTGGAGCGTTGAACGCAGAGAAAACGCACATGTACAGAGTACTGCTTATAGAGGTGAGTGAAGTGCTCTTTTTCTCCTTTTAGAAAGATTTCTTGGGGAGGGCAAAAAAAAAAAGACAATGATGAGTTGGCATAAAGAACCGATAAGAGATCAGATGGATAAAGTGAATCTGCAGTGATGAGAGCAAACCCGATCTGAATCCGACTCGGCTGGAAAACACTTGGGTGTGTGCTGCCTCCATTTCACCTGGCTGTCACTGGTCTCGAGCTTCGTGCAGCAGTTTGGCCGCCTGTCGTCAAGACAACACCTTCCCTTTAGTAATGGAGACTTTACGTTTTTCATTTCGGACATTTGGAACAGCATCAGTGTGTCTTGCTAAAATACTCAGCACTGTTAGAAGTTTAACCCTTCATGCTTTTGAAGCGCTCTGTGCACATTGCTGGCTGACGTATTACTGCAGCATGCACAACAAAAAATACACAAATAATGCAGATATCAGAGAAATATAATCACACAAAAAGAAGCTTGTGTTTGAAAAGGAAAAAAAAAATCCAAACAGACATGGACCTGTGTAAAGAAACTGTTGTCAACAAAAAACAAGCTAAATAGGTTCCACCTCTGAATGGCTTCAGAAAAAACAAAGACTTTCTAGTGGCCTAGTTAAAGTCCTGACCTGAATGTCATTACTGTGGCATGACTGGTGCAGAGGTAGCAGATAAATATTAATTCCACATTCAGTGTGAGGTTTCCTGTACCTTGTGCATTGCAGCGAGCCACAGCGATGCCAGCTTCTTATCTTCTGCAGCCTCCATCTGTAGCTGCTGGGCATCCTGGGAGCCCATTGGTTTGTAATGGAGGAGCATCCCACTGGCCCGCGACGTCCCTCCTACACAAACACATCACCAACTCAATACTTTTTGGAAAAGTATATTTTGTCTGTCTGGACACAAACACCAGAAAAAGTCAACATTAAATAGAGTAACTGGATGAGATGAGATATGGAAAGTAACTAAAATTGAAAGAAAACAAAAATGGGAGAATAATTTTTCCCCTCAGACTCCAAATGATGTAAAGTAATGTAATTCAGGTGTTGCTTTCATGCAAACTCCAGGATGGGGTAATGGGATGGGGTGACATCAGGTCGGGGCAGAGGGTGGATGCAGACGCTGAGGGGCGAGCAGCAGCCAACCTTCAGAGACACACAGGCCGTCCAGCAGGCTGGTGTAAGTGTGAACGTCTTCCTCTGAGTCCAGAGGAAGAGCAGAGCCGTCAGCGCAGCAGGGTTAGAGAACAAAGACATTCTGGAGTCATCTTCTAATGACATTCAAAACAATTCATTTAAGAAGAGCTAGAAAAACGAAAAGGAAGCAAAAACTATTTATTCCCACAACTGCAGAAATCAGGAAAACCCCACAGAGCTGAAACTGTGACGTCTGTAGCGTTTTACCTCCTGGACTCGTCCCGTCTGTCAGTATCTGCATGCTGGAGATGCGGGACAGCTCCACCTCAAAGTGACTTTCACCGTCCAGGAACAGGTATCTGATGAGAAGGTCAAAAAAAGACTCAGTCTCCCTTCTCATTTCAAGGAAACTAACGTTTGGCTAACAGTAGTGAAGGCTCTGGCAGGTCAGACCGTTCCAGACTGACCTGTGGTTGTTGGAGAGGCGGCATGTCATGGTTTCAGATTTATCTGATGTTCCCAAAGTGACGACGAATGTCCCTCCTGGAAAAAAAAAAAAAAAGACTGAAGAGGGCAACGTCTTTCATACCGACATGGGAGGAAATTAAATATTTCTGGGGTTTTTTTGTCTTTTTTTTCCCCAAGATTAGGTCGGTGATACTTTCTTTGGGATAAAAAGAAAAAGACAATGATTTAATTTTAAGTTAAAAAATTAAATATTGAAATCAGTAATTAGGTCAAGGTTATGAATAAAGAACATCTCAGCAGTAAGACAGTTCAAAGTGTTTTGGTATCAGTTCCTTTTTTGAAGGATAATTAAGAGAGTTCATAATTCATTTTATTTGATGTTTCTGTTTTGTTCCTTTATCTTGGATATTTAAGATGTCTTCCAGTTCCAGTGTTAAATGTTCATTAGAATTTAAAGTTTATTGATCTTTGAGAATGTGTCCTTTAATTATTATGCTATTAGCATTAAATGACTCAAAAATGGTCACAAAGCAACACGATTATCGTTTATCGCAAAAACTCATTGTCCAGCAAAATTTATCATCATGACAGTCCTAATTCCACCTAGATTCCTGGCAACAGTAAGTGCATTTAAAGTGCTGACTACACCGTATACATAACTACTGGTGATGGCATGAGAGTCAGTGGATCCAAACCAAGGTGAGCAGAGAGCCGGTTTACCTCCCAGCAGCACTTTGAGCTGCTTGTCGTAGAACTCCAGCTCCTTCTGTGAGACCAGGCTGCACTCTGCACACTGCCTGACCGGGTCAACGAAGCACATCCGGGGCAGCGCCACCTTCTTGCTGCAGCATTTATCGCAGAAACAGCGGCCGCAGCGCCGGCAGTGGTGCTGAGTTAAATCAGACCGAGACTGATGATGAATGAAAAGGATTGTGTGCAGGGGACAGTAACACAGCACATCGTTGTAAACAGACCAGCTCTCTCCACGCAGTCTGAAAGAGCCTGAGCTGTTTTCATCTAGAAGTGACCAAATGTTCAATGTCCCTGTAGAAAACTGATGAAGCTCATAAAGCTTGTGGTAAAGTGTTAGTTCAGCAGGGCTGAATGCAAATACAGTTTGAGTTTAGCAGATGAGAAACCAGGGAAAACTTCAAGACAGAGGTTTGGTAGTGAATGGAAATCATTACTAGCAACATTTTCGTTGTTTCCCTAGAAACAGGTTTCTGTTTTAAGAAGCTTCCTTAAAAAAATTAAAGAAGTCAGCAGTGCAGCTGAATCTCAGCAGTCACTACAATAACTACTGACAAAGCAAAGAATCAAAAATGAAAAGAGGATAATGCAAATGATTAAAAAAAAAAAACACACAAAAGATGAAAGCCAAACCAGGGGTGTCCAAAGTGTGGCCCAGGGGCCACTTATGGCCCTATGATTGTGTGTGCCTCACCACAACAGGTGGTTAAATCAGATTGAGAATTTTATTCTTTAATTAGAGCAAAATTATTAGTGACAAATTAAAATGTATACAATGGAAAATATTGATGATTGTATTTATTTATTCTGGTTATTTTTAACATTTCCAAACAAAAGTAAAAATAAAAAAAATTAAAAACACAAAGCTTTTGTCTTAGTTATGCTTTTTGCTTTCTCTGTTATCATCTGACTTTTAACATTTATCATCTGACTTCTGCTGAGAAACTCCTCAGAGGATTCAGTTGATAAACATGATCTTAGTGACAAACAGACTTCAGATAATCTGCTTTCATTTATTAAACCTTGCTTGAGTCACCATTTCTAAAGAGACAGTGACTCAAATCCTGTTCTTATTGCTGAGAAGAAGCGGAATGTTTCATTTAACTTGGTTCATCTGAGCCCAGTAGAACGTGCAAACTGGATATCTTTCTTTTAACAACGTGAAAAACTACTGGATTTACAAGAATCTAAACTTCCCTTTCCCACAAAAAATAAAAACAGAAAAGACATTTTTACATGTATAATTAGAATTATTGTATGCTTAGTTAATTGTTGATCAGTGAAAAAGAAAAAGAATATTTTTTTTGTTGTAGTTTTAGCTTTTTTTTTTTGACCTGACCGTTTTGGCCCACGTGACGAAGGGTTTGGACATCACCGGTGTAAGTGGCCTGATCAGACCTGATCTGGTTTCCTCTTTTCAGTCAGATAAAGCTGTGATTTAGCACCATGGTTGTGCAGAAACAAAGACCAAACAAACCTTCCGTCTGATGAAGTCAAACTTGGTGTCGCACTGCATGCATCTCGGACACTGGGTGACAGGGAAAGAGGAAAAACAGGATGTTACACAACATGCTGAGCTGAGCAGATTCCAGTTAAACAGCAGCCTGGATCCTGCTCTGCTTCAGCCACACATCACACAACACGTACACTCTGCTGGACTGTCACTTTTCCACTCAAAATTCCTACATCGTTTTCTTTCCATCTTACTCTGGAGGCATTGCAACCCAAACGTTTTTAGGAGTTAAAAGTTCAGAGAAAAACAAACAGGAGCACCTGAACAGAGCTTAAAGTCAAGAATAAATGATTAACTTTATTTGTGTGCAATCTGCTCTTCAAAAAACAGTGTTGGGCTCTGTCTGTGATTCTGACGCTCACTAAAAGGAGACAGACTTTTTTTTCTTCTTTTTTGAGGAGTTAGTGTTCCTTTCGCAACAATGTAGCTAAATACTGTCATCTATGTGCGGGCGTGACAGTTGGCTAACACACACGGGCACAATGTCACAGTAACCAGCTCCTACACTGATGCTAACCAGCTCTGCTCTGGTTTTAGTTGGGCGAGAGAGGCTTGGCTCGCAAACTTCTGTTACCAGACTGGCCATGGCAGCCTGCAACGCCCAGTCCAGGAGCCAACTGCGATGTCCACAAACACGTCAAGTTCGCGGCAGGTCGGAGCAGGAAACCGGACACAGCAACGTTTCCCCACAAAAATAAAAGCTAGCTTCGAGGGGTCGAGTGGCGAAGCGGGAAGAGCGGGCATCTCGGGTTCGAGTCCCGTCCTTGGTTCCTTGGCCGCACGTCTTTCCCCACCTCTCCTTGCCCACTTCCTGTCTGCTTACTTTCTAATAAAAAAAATACTTCAGGAACAAAAAAATAAAAAAGCACGGCATTTTAGAGCTTACCCAATTAAGAAAAGTTTAACCTTGCGCTTAACAGTTATGGAGATCAAAATGTGTCATGAGTCATAAAAAAAATTAAGTGCAAAAATGTGTCAATTTAAACGCCTAAAAATATACTGATGCTTTTTTGTAGTTTTGCTACACTACAAAACACGTGTGTTTGCGTCACTATTTTCAATCAATCATTAATCAAAATTGCCACAATTAAAATAATAAATGCCTGCTCATCACATATTATAGTGGTGACACAGCAGGCTACCAAGAAGGTCCCAGGTTCTCCTCCTGCATGAAGTTTTCTCCAAGTTCTTTTGGGGTATTCAAGTTTCCTGTTTAGGTCAATTGGTCTCTTAGGTGTGAGTGTGCAGTTGTGTTATGCATCTCTGTGTTGCCCCTGAAATGGGAAGGTAACTTGTTCCGGGTGCACCACAGAGATAGGGACAACAATCTGCATTTTCACAAACTAGAAATACTTCCATCTGCTAAATGTGTTTTTCCTGTAAGTAAAGGGAAAAAAGCATAAGTCTTCTTATGCTAGTGGTGTGCTAAACACCATTAGCACCATTCTAGAGGAGGAGTAGCACTGGCTGCTCCATAGGGCATTATTAAATTTCACCAATAAAGTTTATTTGTACTTTTGTGTTGTGGGCTCCAATGTTTGTTTTTTAAAAACTTTTTCCTTGTAAAAGGTTCTGCCATTAAATATTTATATTGCATTTAATACATTTCTCCTTACTGTAGTTTTTTTTAATCCATTTTTCAATACGTTTACTTTTTAGTGAATCTATGTGTTTCCATTTATCTTAACACTTTGCTGGTACATTTCAATTTCCCCATTAAGGTACAATAAAGGATATATAATTTGTACTCTAAAGCGTCAGCTGTCACAATTTATTTTGTTTTGACAAACTTCAAATTTTCTACACTTAGTCTGAAAATACTAACCGGAAGCGCAATGTTTACTGTGTTAGATAGCTTCGCGCTGCTGTGTAACCACTTCAGATAGCATTTGGCCGTCAAACGTCTCACCTCTTTATCCGGGACCCACTGCGGCTCGTCCAGGGAGAACGGGCTGTTGAAGGCGCCGTTCTCCGGAACCATTCGGAGGCCGCTGGGGCTGCGGACCAGCTTCTTCCCGTCTGGTACCGAGGACATTTTCTTTAAAGCGTTTCCCCTCTCTTCTGTCGAGTCGTCTTCTTCTATCACAAACTCCAATCAAGCCACACCCTCCAGGAGCATTCAGCCAATCAGAGTACAAATCTGAAGTCACGTGACACGTGTGAACGAGTGGGCTGTTTGTATCCACTAAAAGTCAAAACATACTGTTATCTACTCGAGAGAAACGAGAAAAAGCCTGTGTTTCGGAGTGTTTGCTAAGTGAACGATTTAGTTTATTCAAAATGTAAATGAAGATAAATTACAAAGCAATTCATAAACATTTATTTTTGCAATTAAAGTTACATTAGTGACAGTCAAAAGTCATAATGACTTCAGTTTGTTAATACTTGTTAATAATTAGCACTGACTGGTTGAAGTTCCCCATCTTCTGCTTGACTCAGCAGGTAGACTGACATGTGAACACGGCTGGGTGTTCCTCCAACAGACAGACAATCTCAAACAAACTTCACCATTTATTTTGGAATGTACTCACCAAAACACCATGATGAAAATGTGTGGCACATGTCTTAAGTATGTCTTTGTCTATTCTAAGAAGAAACGTGAAATATATCAAGTCACAATTTCATGTTGCGTTTTCTTTTATTAGTAAAAGTAAGCAATGTAAGATTTCATTGCTACTTGTTTGAATCTGTATGTACAAAGTTGATCCTGTGTGGTTTAGAGAATACCAGTGATAAATTCAAACACACTAATCCTGCTGTTTGTTGTACGTTCCTTACCTTCATTCAGATACGTGTATAAAACTTTGATTGATTTACTTCTTCAATTTATGTAGTTTTGTTTTTATAGTAAATTTTAAACCAGCTTTATCTCTAACACTTCATTTTCTTCATAAAAGTCCTTTACACAAATGTTTATATATAATTCATTTCATCTACAAGTCACTCATAACATCAGGACGGCATCTAAAGACTTGAGGTCAGATTTTCCAGCAAATAGTTTCATCAGCGATGAAATCTGATCCCGTCAATCAATGGTTGTGTTTGCAGAAGAGCCAGTTTACTGGTATTCCCACTGAGGAGCAATATTCCTCCTTGGCTTTTCTTATATTACGATACATACATTAGATATGTAGTTCTCAGTTTGCAGCGATGTGTGCCAGCATCAAGCTAACCTCTTTTCCCAGATTAGCTTGATACTAGTTTTAAAAAATATATTTAGAACTTTAAAGGAGAAACCACATCATGCATGACAAGAATCAGTTTAACTTTACAAAATGTTGCAGTCCAGGTCTGTGTCTCATGTAAACTCTAAAGTGTTCTATGCAAAGGAGTCGAGACAAGATCCTTTTTTTTCATGAATTTCTTGATGATAAGCTTCTTTAGTTGCAAAAGCTGAAACCAGAGTAATTCAAGTTCTTTTTTTTCTCTTACATCTATTTTTGTTGTTAAAAACTTCATATTTTCCCTCAAAAATGTGTTTATCTGGACCAGCTCTTACCTGTGAACAACATATTTGCTTTTCACTTTGACAGCTGATGATTTTCCTCATTTTTTATATTTCAGTCATGTCACTTTCCTACAACTCAATTTAATACAAGTTTTGTGACTATGAATTTAATTCAAAGCAACTATCAGGGCTATGCAGCAAGGTTTTTAACTGCTGGATGTTGTTTAAAAGGACAGTGCATTTATCGACCTGGTGTACACTACAGGAGTTTATTCATGGAAAACAAAAGCAGAGAGAAAAGCTCAGGAAGGCTGGAACGTTTAATCAAAGGTTAAATCTTACAGCTTTGGTTCAAAATGATCTTTACAAATTAAATTAGAATTGTATAGGTAGCTTGAATAGATTAAAGCAGAGCAGACTAGCATAACACATCACTGGAACTTTTTCTTCCTACAAACCTCTTGGAATAAAAGCATCAGGATACACGCTAAAATCTTGCGTTTACAATTTAAATCATCTTTAAATCTTATTCATAAGTTGCACTTCACTCAAGTAAAGTCTTGTCCGGATCAAACATTGAGAACAACTGGAGATCTTTCTACTGGTACTGTTGGAAAAACTGATGAATAATTTCAAATTGTGTAAAATGAGCCTCAACTGTCACGTTCCAGTTGATTCAGTTCCAGAATGTTTTTTTTTTTGCATAAACATAAGGATTTTCCAGAACACAGCATGGATAAATATACATAAAACAGCATTGACAGAAATGTAAACACAGGACTTCATATATCAGAAGCTAAAACTTCAATCAACACAGAACAGAACGTTTTAAAGAGGAAGCAGCTGAGATGAGGCCAGTCAAGTTTCAACTTCTGTCCTTCAAATACAAGTGGATTTTCTGTCCCTTCATAAACTCAAATCAGACCTGAGAGCTAGCTGAGGAGCTAGCGTTAAACTTAGACACTCGGAACAAGACGATCACGCTCTTCTTCGTCGCTTTTCTCCTTTTTGCACAGGGAAGGCAGACATGTTCTAATGCAGATATTTTATCAGACAAACTTTGGACATTTGTTCGGTTTCATGTACAGGTTTTGGGTCACTTAACCTGATTTGTTGAGATTTTAAAGTTTTAAGTTTTCCAGTCAGTCATAAATGGACGCCGGAGTAACATCAAAACCTAACTGAACAAATATTTGCTTTGCTTTTTTTTCTTTTTTCCTTTTTTTTTAAACAGGGTTTTAAGTAGCTTGTAAGTAGTTAATATCTTACCGGCGGTCAATATGACTGAGCCCAAACTCATCAATACCCCTGGCAGAGTCTGAGTTAAAACTGTTTTTATTTAGCTTTTTCTGATGTGAAATGAGATCAGAATTTCCCAATAGGTAAAACTATTTAAGAAGGGTATTGATTCTCAAATATGTATCTATATTTCACATATTTTATTTAAAATTGTGTTTGTAAAAAATATGTAACCCATTTCAACACTGAATGGAAAAACCTTGATTGACGTTGCAGCAACTGTAAAGGTTAGCAACTGTTACAGATGCTAACCAGCTTTATGTGTATTTACACTGCAGTTTTAATGTGACTTTAGTGAGCCCCAGGTGTTTGAGGCTGATGGGTCACCCCAACCTAAAGCTCCCTGCACATTCAAGCTGGGACTCCAAAACATCAATATTTCTTCCAGTCAGAAGAAACATGGTGAGAAAATTTAAAGATGACTTCAAAACTAAATCAGAAAGGAGAGTGAATATTTTCGGGCTTAAGCATAACTCTGTAGCTGTTTTGATTTAGCATAAACCCAGATTAGATCCCACAGACTGAAGTTAACAGCTACACCAAACACCAAAGCAGACATTATATTAAGACTGTTATTTTGGGGGAATGGAGGTGTGGGGATGACCTGGGGTCTAACTAACATCTGTGCACCTCCAGGGGTCAAACCCACTCCAACACAAACCACTTAGCTCTGAACACCAGCCACGTCAAACACCCACGCACCGACACAAATGAAACGCTTTCAGGTCAAACAACCAGGCTATTATTACCTCAGTGTGCTCTACAAGATGGAGTCTTGATTTAATAAACGCCATTAGGATTCGCTCTTTATATCTCCTTTTTGTAGAGCAAATATGTCCTGGAAGCATGCAGGCAACCAGCTTCTCTATATGGTATGCCAGCAATGCCAAGACTGACCCGTAAAAGAAAACAAATGCTAACTGCTTATAACATTTCAACAAAACCTTACTTTAAAAAAAATCCTGAATATATTCCTTTAAAGGGGCAGTATTATGTAAAATACTCTTTTTTTATGCTTTATATTATGATGTAATGTTATTCCCTCATCAATAACATATCTGGAGTGTTGTTTTGATTCTTTTGTGCATGCTTAAAAAAAACTTTAATTGCCATGGCAACCATGCAGCTGTGCAAAAACGACTTGGTGGACCTAGCTCCGCCTTGTGGCCAGAGCTTCTCCTCAGAGCTGCAGTTATAAAGCTTTCGAGCTTCCAGCACCTCACTTAAATCTAGCCAGATTTAATTAGCAAACACCTGGTGTACCTGAGCATCTTTTGAGCTCGATATAGGAGCTACTTCTCAGTGCAACACTGGTAAAGATGTTGCTAAAGGAGTCATGTTGTGATGCTTTCCTGAAGGCAGAGTTTCAGAAAAAGCAGGAGTATTTAAAGAGACAGAGGCCCAATTTCAAGACGTTAAATACAGAGTCAAATTTCTTTAGTCATATTTGATATATATATATATATATATATATATATATATATATATATATAGCGCTATGTGCCTGGAAAATATATAATACTGCCCCTGTAAGATTAATTAATTATTTAATTTAGGGATATTTTTAGAACAGAACAGTGCATAATAATAATAATAATAATAATAATAATAATAATAATAATAATAATAATCTGAATATAGTTTTTCAAGAGAAAAGTTGTTCCTTTTGATGGCAGGTGAGTCATTTCAGACAGTATTTTGTAGAAAATGGCTGCTAAACCACAGAGTTGTTTTGCCGTTTCTATAACGTTATAATTTCATAAAATGGAGCTTTCAGCCCAGCGGTAACTAGACATCCAGTTTCTCTCGGTGAAACAGGGGAGTTCATTTTGAGCCGTGGTTTGGTGAAGTAAAACCTGCGCCTGTGTCTGCCTTCAAACTAACTCCAGCATAATTCATATTTTTCATATCACTAAAACCAGGAAACAGTTCGACGTAACACAAGCTTTCTCACAGACACACACATGCAGCAGACCACTGTACATTCACACACCTGATACGCAGTGACAGGAGCGCAGGCTTCAAACCTGCAGCAGTGGGGTCAGAGTTCAGAGGCCGTCCAGTGAGTACTTTGCGTTGCGATGCTGAAGAACGACGAACACGCAAAGCTTTCCTACAAACAGAAATTTACAGTGAAGGCAGACCAGCGGTCCGAGGTGGTAGTTCATGTCCTTCAATGCGCCAGATCGGTTTGGCTGGCACTCAGGTCGTGATGTTTTCTTAAACGATGATTTCGTTCCTGATGGGAACAGAGACAGGTCAGAGGTCAGTGCCAGATCAGTGATATTAGTGAAATAACAACACATATTATATATACACACCAAGAGAGAGAGACATACAGGAGAAACAGGGGGTTCAGTTCTTTTCAATTTTTTAGAATTGAAAACAAGGTGAAGGTTTTTTTCATCACTTTAAACAACTGATCACTGTACAATAGTTTGCTTAAAATCTTAATTCTCTGTCTTCCCTTTTTTTGCAGCATCCAGGGTCAAGTTGCTCCAATCAGACAGTAATTTACAACTTACACAAAA